ACTAAATTATGACATAAATCTCAATCATGGAGTATGATCCTTTCAAAGTACTGTTAAATTTGTTAATACTTTGTAATTTTCTTTTGGCATCCAAGGCTGCTTTTGGTATCAGGGTAATGCTGGCCTTGTAAAATGAGTTTGGAAGGATTCTATCTTCTGCTTTTTGGAAGAAGTTGAGAAGGATTGGTATGAATTCTTCTTTAAATGTTTGGTAGAACTCACCAGTGAGGCTACCTGGTTCTGGGCTCTTGTTTTTTGGGAGGTTTTTGATGACCGATTCAATCTCTTTTCTAGTAATTGACCCTGTCATTTCTTCTTATAAGATTTCTTTAGTCCAAAAACCCATCTCTTACTATCTGACTTGCCATTTTACCTACTCTGTTAATCACATGCTAAAATATCGATTTTATCATTTCACTACCTTGATCAAGAATTTCTTTTGTCTTTCCACTGTTTTCCAGATACAATATAACTCGATTTGTCATTCAATACTTATTCCTTGCTATTTAGTCATCTTTGTTGCTTAATAAGACCTTTCTTCTGTGGTCAGAAGAGCCTTCATTCTATCTTCTATAGAATATTACAGACTGGAAAATGGCCATCCCATAAGCCCTGCCAATGCGCCTGTCCACCCCCATCCATAAGCCTGACATGTCCTCATGATTCCAACCTTTAGCAGGGCCTCTGAGGGTTGGACGTGAGTTACTTAATGATTTTCTTATGACTACATGGTGTCAGGGTAAAGATAAATTCTAACTTCTCCCAACTCTCTTGGAAAATTTTAAAAAGTTCAGGTTAACCTATCTTGCAGGCTAATAAACAACTCTCTAGGCTCTCTGTCTCCAAGCTAGAGTCTCCTTTGACCACTTGCAGTTAAGAAGGTGTTAGGGCACTGGCCAATTTAATCCTCAGATTTTACCTCTGAGACGATTTGGCGGAAGTGGTAGGGAATTCAGAAGAAAGGATTTATCTTGTGTTTTTTTGGTAGCTCTAGAATTGAAAAAGAAGCTGTGAGTCGTGGATAGTTATAAAATTGTATTCTTCAATTTATCTTGCTTTCAGGCTAACCACATAATTTAATAAATAAAATCTAGGACAGTTTGTTCAAAAGGAACACAAGTAAGAATGTTTTGTTGGATAAATAAAGTTTGACCAAGTAGAGGTAAGAAGCAAATGCCATTTCTCAGATCACAACTTGATGATTCTCTCTCTCTCTCTCTCTCTCTCTCTCTCTCTCACACACACACACACACACACACATTTTTGTCATGAAACCCATTGTTCTGTTATGTTGCTCTTGGCTGCATGTTTCGTACTGTCCTGATTTAAGAATTCCTGCAATGAACGAATGAAAAAGAGAAATTGCAAGAAATGATAATTCCCAGACTGCAGGTATATAAAATTGCTTGTAAGAAGGTTGCTCTCTGGCAAGGGCCTAGGCTGAAGCTCCTGATGAGCTTACAAGTTACTACCATGTCTGACTTACTATGTACTCTCTAGCTCTCTGCTGAGATAATATGAACATCACGGTGGGGTTGGGAACTTAGTCAACTAATAATAAAACACTATTAAAAATTCTTTGCTATAATCTTGGAGTCTTTGAAGGGCTCTGAAAGAAGTGTCTTGTCTTATATTTTATCCTTTAAAATTGTGGTCATACAGAGACAATTCCAATGAAGCAATTCCCCTGGCTTCTTTCTCTGGAAGCCTATTTTTTCTCCTCATTTGTGATCTTTTTGTTCTCTTCTTTTTCTGGTGAAACTGCTTTCTTAGTAGGGTCAGCCAAGCTAACTGTCTCTGATTTACCAGAAGAACACTGGCTCTTCACTGTGGGGTTAAAGGGTAGAGTACTGGATTGCAAAATAAGGTACTGCAAAGCAGTGCTAGCCTATTAAGCAGTCTGTGACCATCACAGAATCTCTATCTTAAAGTAAACATGAGTTGAAAAATGATTGCATGTGTTAACAAGAATGAGGCAAGCAATAGGAGTGAGACTCAATGGAATCTGTAATTTCTTTAATAACACTTGAACATGCTTTTCCTCAGTAATTCTATTTCTCTGAGGCTCTCAAGAAGTTTTTCTCACTTGTATAATACGCTTGTGTTTGAACCACAGCGATGAACTGCAGAGGGCTGTTAGAGGAAGAGAGGCACCAAGGGGTGTTGGTGGCAACTCTCTGAGCGCGAATAATGGTCATTGGGATTAATAGAAATAACTGTTGGGGAGAGAATAGAGATCTAAATTTCTCCTGTCACATAGCCTGACTGTAGCTTAGTCTGCATGATATGAGAGCAAGTAAGAATGCCTCAATGGGGTATTACAGTGACTAAGAGGCAACCAGAGCAGGAGTATGAGCTGCTGAGCTGGGGTCCTCTGACTAGAGGGGCTGCCTTATCTTCAGCCTCCCAAGAAAGGCAGCAACATCTCAGGGCCAAGAACATGGCCGTCTGGGGAACGGATCATCAGCTGGCTTTTATACCAGTCACTGAATTTATGTTAATATTTGTGATTCTAATGATACACAAGTTAATATTATTAATATTTGTATTTCATAGTTAACATTTACTTAACAATGATTCTGTGTCAGGTTTCTAAATGCTTTATGTGTATATTAACACATTTAATCCTCACAGTAGCAGTTTGAGGTAGATAATTATTATCCTAATTTTACAGATGTGGAAATTGAAGTGCAGAGAAGTCCAATGATTTTCTCAGGTGACACAGCTATAAGAGGTGGAACCAGGATACGATTTTTAAAAAAGTCTTGGAAATTCTTGTCAGAGTGAATCCTTCTAAGATTAGGGTTTAGACAGATAAAGTTTCAGTGGCAATGTGTGTTTCCTGTCGCCAATCTATCTAACTTCCATCGATCAGTAATGAGAAAGACTCTGCTGGATGCTTAAAATTAAAAGTTTAATTCCTCAGATAGACTAGCCACATTTCAAGTGTGCAGTTGCCACATGTGGCTGGCGACTATCATATTGATCACTGCAGATATAGAACATTTCCATCCATGCAGAAAGTTCTGTTAGACAAAGCCATTTTGAAAAGTCACTTGACTTAAAATAACCTGCCTAAAAAAGTCATCTAAGCCCATATCTTTTGCCATCTTTTCTTGCTCTGTTTCATATGTTAGGCTTGGGAATGATTTCTGACTCCATTAAGAATTTAATGAAAGCCATTACCCAGAAAATGCACCTATGCAATTATATAGAGAAATTTCCATCCAACTTTGGTGGGATCACGAGCCCTCTGTGTAATCGCTACCTACTGATGCCTAACAAATTACCTAAAAAATTAGTGGCTTAAAATCACAAAGATTTATTTCCTCACACAGTTTTGTGGTTCAAGAATTCAGGAGTAGTGTAGCTTAGTGATTTCTGCTCAGGACTCTCATTAGATTGCACTAGGTTGTCAGATTTAGCAAATAAAAATACGAGATGCTCAGTTTAATTTGAATTTTAGGTAAACAATAAATAATTCTTTAGTATAAGTTTGTCTCATGTAATAATCAGGTTGTATTTTACTAAAAAATATTGTTTACCCAAAGTTAAAATTTAATTGGGCATTCTGTATTTTATCTCATAATTCCAGTCAATGTGTCGGTTGAAATGTCAATCATTTTAAGACTTTAACTGGGGCTCATGAATCCATTTACAAGATGGCTTATTAACATGCCTGGCAAGTTAGCTCTGGTTGTTTGTAGGAGGCATTAGTTCTTGACCCTGGAACTCTTTTTTTGTGCTGCTTGAGTGTCCTCATGACATTGGAGCTGGCTTCCCCCAGAGTGAGTGATTCAAGTTAGTTCAATACCATTTCTGTCCTTGGCATGGAAGTCAAACTTTGTCATTTTTGAAATATTGTGTTGATTGTGCAGGTCATTTCTATTTTTCTATTCATTGTAGGAAGAGGCTACATGAATACCAAGAGACAAGAATCACTGGAGACCACCTTGGAGGCTGGCTCCATCCTCTGAAATTTATACACAGATGTCACAGAATACAAGCTCCATGAGGGTAGAATAAAAAATTTTTTTCTAATAGTTGTAGCCCTGGTGGCAATAATAGTGCTATAAATGAATAAATGAACTTTACCTAAAATCTCTGACCTAAAAGATTTCTTTGGTTCTTAGAAGGTTTTGTAGAAACAAAAGATGCTTCCCAATAAAGTCTGAGGATGAAGAGATCTGAATACAGGTAACAGGAATTTGTAAAGGGATAATCACTTTACTAACATTTTGAATGAATAATCATGATTGTGGTGTTGTTAAATGAGTGCCAGACTCTGTGTTAGAAATTTCTTTTTATGTATATAATTTCATGTATGTAACCTTTCAGATATGTATTACGATAAAGAGTAAAGAGCTATGATTTAGATGCTATGAAGAAGGTAAACACATACACATAAACACACACACATACATGGACATGCACACACACACAAAGGGAGGAATGCTCCGGGATAAAAATGGAGAGGAAACCATGACATTTAATAGGATGTCAGAAAGGGACTTGTGTGGAAAAGTACCCAGCCTAGTCTTGACATAAATTACAAATCGAAGAAGAACAGACAAGTTAAAGTTTATCATAAGATTGCTTATTAGAAAGAAAAGAATGCGGGTACCAATTCAAAGCTGGCAAAAATATGGGAGGAAAGGGCTGTGTGTGGAACATAGCAGTGGCCCTCTTCTTAATGGCAGCAGAATTGTTTGAAGTTTTATTTTTAGTATCCGCTGGGATTTGAGCTTCCCAAAATAGAGGGCTAACCTATGCAAAGCCATGTGCTCGAATCACAGGTCATCCCTCAAGTGAATTCGTAGGGTTTATTTTTTACTAGTGGAAGCCACCAGGTGGATCTTGGAGAGGAAGAATATACCACCACGTCAAGATCCCCACTCTAGGCACCATCTCTTTCCTTAGCATTCAGTAAGTTTGTGAGTTATGAGGATGAAGACAGGTGTCAGTTATAGAAAAAGCTTAGCAGTTTATTTCCTGATGGTTTACAGAAAAGTGGTTGTCTCTTTACACTTTCTCAGGAGGGTCTGCAAAGCAGCTTCGGCTGCTCTCTGGACACTGATACAAGGGTCTTGCCGAAGTGTTTGAAGCCCTGAAATGGAAAGAATATCAAAGTCCAGTGAGTGAGGGAAGCCAAGGCCCAAGCTGGGCAGCACTGTGAGGCTCCCCATTGAGGGTCAGCCGTAGGCAAGCTCAGGCTCCCACATTCATGTTTTACCCTAATGGATAGGATTGCAACATTGAAATAAGGGAAGAGAAGATTCTGACCTTGTAATCAACAGACAATTGGAAAACTGTAGTCTGTTGAGAATAATGTCCACAAAGGGTTGGAGCTCAAGCTCGCTTTATACTCTGGAGAAATTCCAGTGTCTAGGGAGCATCAAAGTCAATAAAGGGGACTACTATTTTTCAATTTCTGGGTTAACATGGAACTAGGAACAGCTTTAGTTTCTCTTTCTCTAAGAATGTAACAATATGCTCGGCAGAAACTAGGATTAGTACTCACGTGCAGTCAGTTGTTCTCTGTCTAATAACTCCATGTATTGGTTGGTCAAATTGAGAACAATGGCGTCTAAAATCAACAGGAGAAAAATGATTTCATTACAGAGCAAGAGGCCATGGAAAGAGGATCGAGTCAGACTCTGTACCTGATCAGAAGTTGAATGAGCAGACTATATGACTCCCTCTGCATCCCCAGGGTGATGTGCGTGTCATGGCTCTTGGGTCTTGAGTGCCATATCTGGAAGTGGTCACTTACTCAATGTGTATTTGAGCAAAGCTCACAGAATGTCCTACCGAGGGGTGTGCCAGTTGTCATCAGGGTTTCAAATGTGTGTGAAATATGGACCCTGTGTCCAAAAAGTTTGTAGTGTAGTTGAGGGATCGCATACATGATCTAGTGAGGACTCTTCACTCTTAAAAGTGGCCTAGCTAGTGGACATATTCACTGTGGGCTTGATCAGTTGGAACAGGCATCATGATAAGACCTAGAATTTTATAATAGAAGCATCCTCAGAAACTCACTTACTTTCCTTTTGAATTTTATAGAGCAAGCAAAGGGGCAACACAGAGAAGTCAAGTGAATTGTCCAGAATTACACTAGCAAAGCCAAGGTCTGCTGGCCCCTAAACTAATACACTTTCCACTGTATCATATTGCTGCTAAAGCTCTTGGCTTGACCTGTGCTTAGAAAGTTTACTATGCTTTATGTTAAGGGATGATGCAAAAGAAAACATTTAGGAGCAGGGATGCAGCCTTGGAGCAAAAACTTGAGGAAAAGAAGGAGCAGTGACTTGGAACCAGAAGAAGCATGGAGGGCCCAGTATGCAGAATGGTCTGACGGTAGGAAAGCGAGTGTTGGAAAGTCAGAAGATGTTCAAAGTTTTCATTCACAAAAGAGAACAGCTTCCTCTGAGGGGAGATGTTGCAAGAACATAAATTCTTTTCCTGTGTTTTGTTCATGCCAGTCAACCAGTGTTCACACTGGAGTAGCTTCCAGTCAAAGCACAACTAGGTGGCAAGGAGCAGACACACCTGAGCAGGGAATGTGGCTGCACCCTCACCTGTGAGTTTGATGGCTGCACTCCTGATAATCTCCCAGCTGCTGTTGAAGAAAGAGAATAAGTGTGTGTGGAGGATCCACAGGATTTCCTGGTTTTTCTTGGCCTAGAAGAGATATATATGCGTTACAAAGAGGGCTATGGAAAGTGACCCTTTATGGAATTTAGCATCCTGTAGTTTCTAAGAAGGGAAATCTAAAAGTCATGAATTATTCTATTGGAAGATGTCTGATGGCTGTTCTGACCTAAATTTTATTAGAAAGGTACTGGGATTACGGGACTAGTAACAGATGTATTTTAGGAATCTAGAGAACAGATTCCAGTCAGGAATTGGGAGAAGAGCATAGGGTCACATTGCAGGATATCAAGAATCACTGCTATCCTCGCAAGACAGTTCTGCGTCTGGGCAGAGATCCCCTGCCATGTCGTTTGCCTTTCTGGGATTTGCTGGGACTCTTGTCTGCATTTTTTTTAGGCAGCATTTACTGCACACTCACCAGTTTTGCACAGAATTGCCTATAGAAATCCCTGGCTCTTGGTAGGTCTTGACCATCAAGGAGATGATCTAACACCCCATAGAGCTCCTGGAGGCCCAGAAAAGGAATGGAGACGATGAGGACATCACGGCAAGCCTAAAACACAAGAGTTTCCTGCGTCATAGTCCATACTGCCGATTCCCGTCTAGAGGGGAAGAAATGCTGACTAGTGCTGGGAAAGGAGCCTCAGAACTGAGTGATGTAAAGGGCTTTATAGTCGGCAATGGCAATCTTTCCAGTTTCAAGGATGGAGAGCAAACTCGGGAAGAGAAGGCAAGAAAGAACCCAAGATTGGAGAAGTGCTTTTCAGGTTCAGCTGAGAGTGGTGACTTCCGTTCTGGCTTGTAGTCCAGCCACGCCAGGTGTACTGGCACTTCTCAGCCATGGGGAGAGGAGGAGATGCAGGTGATTGTGCAAGGGCCACTTACAGTTCCAATTTTGGGATTGGGATCCCAGAGGTGGAGAAGGAATGAAACCATGCTCTTTTTAATTTCTTCAGCAAAAAAAATCTTCCACCTTCTTCCTGTTAGGGATGCCAGATTCTCAAATAAGAGGATGGCAGTCAGTCTCACATCATCCTGCTCCTGTGGCAACAGATGTGTGATGTGGGTGAGTCTCCTTTTCAGACTGTTTTCGGCCAGCGCCCTCCATCCCCCATCCCCACCCTGCTTGGCCCCACATCAGCAAAGGAAGGCTGGAACCCAGACACTGGTGCACTCCGGTCATAGCCCTTATGTGTCCCGAGAATACTCTCCCTTTCCCAGCAGCTCTCTTAACCACACTACACGAGTTTGAATGACTGTGGGTCCGGGGTTTAAGTGATACCAGAGAACTGGAGTCTTGGTTTCTGCCTTTGAGTAGCAAATGGGGAAAGGTGACCGCAGGAATGATAAACAGAGAGTGCTGCTGGCAGAAGAAGGTGGGAGAGGATTCTTGCTTATTTTGTATTTACACAAATTCGCCTGGTTGCACCATTAACTTTGAGTTATGAGGCCTCTAATCTAAATTGCTCAAGGCCTAGGACTCTTCTCCAAGATCCCAAATACTTTCTAAAGGGATCACAGGCAGTTCAGATATTTGGGCTTTGGGTCTCAGAGAGAGAGGATAAACAAACAAGTGCTTAGCCCTATTCTTGCGTATGTGAAGTTCTGGAACTTCCTTGCTTATTGTCCTGGATAGCAGGCAATGATTTTAAAAATCAAAGGGTAAGGTGGTGGAGAAATATGGCCTTCTGTTATCTCAGATACTTTGTTAATATGGTTCAGAATTCTAACAAACTCTGATGAATTTTCTTTTTTTTTTTTCTTTTCAGGTCTAATTTAAAATACTAGTTTAAAATACTATACGAAGGCAGAAGGATAAAGGGAAAATTTATTCTAAGTAGCATAATATTATTTAGATTAAAAATAAGCAAGGGACAACAAAAGAGAAGATAAAGTAGTTAATCGTGATGGCAAATTAAATGTATAAGAAGCAGGCATATAAACAAAAACGTCGTGAACAAGGAAGTTGATAAGATCTTCTAGAAAAAATAAAAATGGCTTTTCGGGAAAAAGCCAGAAAAATTAAATAAATACATGAGACATGATCTCATATAATAGAAATGGAAGTAGAAACATTCTTTACATATACGGAGAATGAGGTCAGGATATATTTTTAAAAGGCGTCTTTTTAGAAAAAGAAAGCAAACCAATAACAAAGTACTCAAAAGGTACAGAGCTACTTCCTTAAAAATAATCGTTTGAATTTTCCAAGATCAATGACCTAAAGATAGGTTAAGGAAGAATCAACCAATTACTGGGATGATGGAAAAACAGAAAAGATAAGTGGTGAAACTGTTTGGGTGCTGGGAGAGACATTAGAGTTTAATGACTCTGTTTTGAGCTGAGAAAATGGAGTCCCAGAGAGTAAAGTGCTCAGGGTGATGGAGTGGGACATAGTATCAAACAGGCCTGGAGCAAGGGCTGGCAGCCATATTTTCTCTTTTACCATTTCACTGAAGTGTTGCCATATTTTGAGAATTCCAAGGAGGTACTTAAATATTGAGAAAAAGGCGGAGGAGGGAATTTGGAGATTACAAATTCTATGCTTAATCTATAGGAAACTATAGGGTTTTCATAAAGCATAGTTAAATATATTTGCAGAAAGAGCATTACTGGAAAATAAACAGCATGTCATTGCTAAGACCCAAGTGTATCAAACTCTACTTTTATGCAAATGTGATGGCATTGATACCTATTAGGTATGAGAAAGGCCTAATCCAACAACCAGTAAGACTTCAGATTCTTTTCTTCTGCAGTAAAACTGAGAAACATTATCTCGACCACAAGGTGGACCTGTGGTTGTTGGAAGCTGAGATCCAAGTGAATTATTATCACAGTATCAACAACCCAGGAAAACCTAACAAACAGATGGGGCTCCCTCTTATCTGTGTAATGCAAAAGAAAACAACATTTGTTACTTTACAGAAGACAGTAAATGGAGTGGGAGCCAAGAAAGCATTTTTGAGGACATGATGAGAATAAAAAGTAATATCGATACATTGAAGAAAGTAGTTGCAAACAAGTAAAAAGCTGCTTTCAAAGGCCAGCTAGCATGAGAACAAGGGCAAATGAAAAATACGAAAATGGAGAATTATTGACTGTGGGCATATATTGCAGATTAAAATCCAGAGGCCTGAATGGGTAATCAATTGCCAAAGAAGAAAGGGCAAGATTTAAAAAAAAAAAATTGGAGTGAACGAATAGGAAAAGTGGACCTGAGAGATAATTTTTCTTTAGATTCTATTTAATACTTCTCAAGCCTCATTTAGAGATATAACACAGTCATTGGCTTGTAAAATACTTAAAGAGCTGAAAAATTAGGTTTATGATGAATAATGAAGGAAATGGAGACTTTCCAGTCTGGAGACTAGAGGTAAATAGGTAATTTAATAAAAGCCTTACTGTTTCGGAAGGATGCAGTGGGGGAGACAACTAGTTTTCCATCTCCTCTGACAACACATGACAAAACAGGTCCGATCACACACAAAAAAGATTTTGCCGCGTCCTCTTTCTACCCTACTGCGTGACAAGGTCCGGAGATGGGGACAGAGGCTTCAAGGAATGCATCGTCAAGAACGAGGACGTGGCATGTGTTTAGGGATAATTGGTTTCTTAGAAATGATCCTATTAATAGGGGGAATTTGGGTAGCACAAATTCTAGTAAGTGTAAACGCTGCACAAATGGATTTCCTCAAAATTGGCTCTGAGGAAAACATAGTAAATTCCCTGCGTATGGAATCAGCTCTAGTCACCCTGACGTGTCCAGAATGCGTAAACCCTTTATTTGAACAATTATTAAGGGAAATTCCTTTTGACGCGCCTCTTAAAGATATTATGAATAAATTATAACAAGCTGAATTACTAGAACCAGTTTATACTCCTGTTCCCACGCAGTTAGTAGAAAAATTAGTAAAGGATAAGAAATTTACTCATAAGCCTGTGCCTACTATAGAAGGGCCTCCTTTTGTGGCCTAGTGGATAAATAGAAAACTCTGGTATCCACCTAGGGGGGCTAATAGTATGAAAAGATTACCTGATCTTCCTTTGCCTTATTCAGAAGCTTATAATAAAGATAGTATACATGTAGTGAATAAAGATAGAATTCATGTGCCTTATAGTAGTTTAAGTTTCATAGAAAGGCTGGCTAGGTCAGGATCTCCTTGGTGCTTAAAAACAAAGGAACAGAAACTTAGCTTATGAAAGCAGCTTTGTAAAACTGATTTTTATAAATATTTTCCTCATTACTGCACCAAGGAAACTTTTGAACAGCTATGAGAAAGGTTCAGCTTGAACTTTAGATATAGCATAAATCAAATAGCATTTAAAAGATTTCTTCAGGCAGAAAGAAGAACAATGTCTGCCCACAAGCCAATGCTTGCTGTTATGAATACATCTATCTATCACCTTTACTTAAATCAAACTGTATCTTACGTAATAGATATAATAATTAAAAGTTTAGATTGTTCCATCAGGTAGTTCTGTTCTAATGATTGAGAGAAAAATGTACTAGTTAATCATGAACATTAATAATAATATACTCTATAAGATTTTCTGCTTCGCCTAACCACAGAAATGTAACTCCCTGCTACCTTAACAACAAAGTATAATCAAATGCCAAAATAAAAAGTATAAAAGTTGTACTCAAATCACAATAAAACGGAACAGTGTCACACCGCCTCTGAGCTGTGTAGTCGACTGTCTCCCGCGCCGACGCCTTGCCCACCTTCGGGGCCCCCTGGATCCTGTTGTGGCTGGACCGCGGCAAGATTTAAGTTAGAGGTGAAGTAGGTTTTTACAGTGATGACAGTGAATAACCCAAAATAAATAAACTTTAGTTTCCCAGTAATTATAAAGGAAAATGAGCTTCCCTTGCCCAGGACTCCTGCTGATATTTTTTGAGATTAAGGCTATAGACTTAGATCGGGGGGTTGACAAACTTTTTCCCTAAAAAGGCCAGACAGTAAATAATTTAGACTTCGTGGGCCATCTGGTTTCTGCAACAACTAATCAGCTCTGCAGATGAAGTGTGAAAGCAGCCACAGACAACATGCAATCAATGAGCGTGGTTGTCTTCCAATGAAACTTAATTTACAAAAAGATGCTCTGGGCCGGCTTTGGCCCATGAGCAGCTGAGCAGCGGTTTATACTGACTTCTGGATGAAATGAGCCACACAAACACGTTGTGTCTTTGAATCTTGGATGTGGAAACGATAGCGTTGGAGGTGAAGTGTCTTTACTTGGGCCCTAGTCCTGTGTTGAACACCGTCATAATTTGTGTTCCCCCCAAAACAAACTTGGAGATGAGGCTTTAGGTGAAAGTAAGTTATGTGGGAGGTGCGCCCAGGAAGCATGATGGGGAGTGTGAATAAGACGGGGTGAGAGGAAAGCTGCAAAAGGGAATATTAACGCGCGTGTGTGTTACCCAGGTAGGAAAATGGAGCGCAATCCTTCTGCGGGGTGAGGACACTGGAGAGTTTACTACAAACTATTTATCATTTGAGCGTTCTTCCCCATCGAGTCTGGCTCACCTTGTTCAGACCAATTATAATTCCCAGGCCAGAGAGTACCCTTAGACAGAGAGACACAGGAAGCCAACATCTTGCACAGGAACTGTTTGTTGGCCTCTGTGCAGGTGACCTCTGTGGCAGGTGACCTCTGAGGCAGGCCAAGGAATATGGGTGGGACAGCAATATGGTCTGCTACAAGCACTGCACGTGGACCTCTTCCTGTTCGCTCACTTATGGGGAGCGAAGACCCCTGACAGGCTCACTTACGTCTTCAAAGAAGGTTCTCGTTTGCAGCACAATTTCTTTGAAGTAGAAGCTCACATCTCGATCTGTGAGCAGCTCCAAGATCTTTTTTAGAGACTTCAGGCTTTCACAGACGACGTCGGTGCGGGCCAGGTGATACAGACCTCTGATGATAGATTCCAATATTATCTGCTTATGCTTCTTCACCTATTTTGAAATAAGGTCTCTTAATCTCAAATATTGTTCTATGTGTATCTGGAATGGGGTAGGAGACCCCAGACGAGGGGATCGAAATTGTGTTAGGGCCACGCGTACTTTAACTCAAGGGCCATTGCTTCAATTTATTTGGATTTCCACTTAATTTCTGTGCAGCAATAAAGTGCGAGTGAGTAGATAAATATTTCAAACTCTACTTAAAACTCTTTGTACCTTGTGAGGGGCTCCAGAAGCTGCATTACCAAGCCCTCGGATGGCCATTTGTCTCAAAATGGAATTGGAGTCCCAGGCACTCTGATCCATCAAGATCAGCACTTCGCGTAGATTCCCGTGCTTCCAAAGGATTGGCTCCTTCATGAGCTGAAATCGACACACTCCCCACCTTTAGATAAGGGGTGGCTTCCCTTCAGGAGAGTGCCGAAGGTGGCATAACTAAAATAAAGAGTGGGGCCCAGCTGCTCGTGGTGAGGAGGGGGAAGAAGCCCTCTGGTGAATGAGCAAGTCTCGCAGAAACTGAGCTCTAGCTGTCAGCATCCCACAGGTCAAGGTTACGTGGCGGTGAGAACAGAATACCTAGTTAAGGAGATCATCATCTAGTCTAAGTAGAAAAATGTGGCAGGGAAAACAGGAGTGAGTGACAATGCTCCTTCCTGGATCACCTGAGATTGCCTTCATCCCACAGTGTGAAGGGACGGTAATGTCCTTGTTGGTTACTTTTTGTTTTGTCCCTCTCATGTTTATTCCCCACCCTTCTCTATCCTGGGAGGTTGACTTCTGCAGACCAGAGGGAAGGAACAGGTTGAGGGGGGGTTCTTTTTCTTTTTTCACTCCCTGCCCAGGGACCACGTCTCTGGCAGTAGCTGGATCTCTCCACTACCAAAACTCCCCTTGAAGATCCCTCTTCTGCGATTCCGGCTCCTACTGAACTCCTGACCCTGAGAGAAATGCCCCCAGGGGACCCAGGGAGCTTGCTGTCCTGGCTGCTCTCCCTTGCCTCAGAGAAGAAGGCTGTGCCGGTTATTCGATAGTTCTCCGAGGAGGAGGTGAGAGATGAGAATAGTTGCTCCATGATGTCCAGTATGACTCCATGTTGCCACACTGCCATGCTCCTAGAAAACACAAGACTCCAGCTGTAGCAGAGACAATGGAGGAAATATTAGTCTATTTCTCTATCAGGAAAACCAATTCTCTTGAAAGGAATGTTCAAGCAAAGAGCACCAAGGCTTAAACTTTATATTTGGCTACCGAGTGCTCAATTTAAGTGCAGTAGGCCTAAATCTATTAACTTTATCACTATATTTTGAGGGGGTGGTGAGTTTTGGGGATGATCCGACCATTTCTTCCCAATCCCCTTTGCTCTTTGTTCCCTGTTTCTTCTCCTTGACGATAAGTCCTTGGTGAGTTCGTTGCTCTCAGTGAATTTCCTATATTGCATTTTTACTCTGTTTTTAATTGTCTTTGTGTCCAGTTCTAGAATATCTGCTCAGTACCTGGCCAGCGCACATACTCCTATGTGGTGAGTACTGGGGTTGTTGAGTAGTGTCCATAAGTTGTCTCCCTCATCAGATTCTTTGGCAAGACCTTCTTTCATGGCTTGGGCCTGCACACACTTCAGAGTTGTGGTTGAGAGCCTGAAGGAGACAGTCACCATCACAAAGTCAGTGGACCTCACATAGGGAATTGTGAATCCACAAGTTCACTCTTCCTATTTCTCTCACGCCATGTTCCCTCACTCTTGGATTAATGGATGCTGTGCAAAGACGACACGGGCAGCCTGACCTCACACTTTCGTTTTGGGGTCAAAGGGGACATCGAAATCATTTGAGCTGGTAAATAATGTTACAAAATCTTGTCAACGTCTCATGAGAAAATAAAGCCCTAAGGATAAAAAGAGCAAAAAAAAAAATCATATTTCACTAATTCTGAAACAGCACCTCAGAAATCAGGCTGCACCTCACGATGGGTAGTGTGTTACAGTTGTTGGCCAGTAGTTGTGATGTAGTTGCTATTGCCCTGTGAATGCACATGTACGTGTGTGGGTTTAGCTATGGCTCTTTATACTGTTGTCATTTTAGTAAAGTTACATGTTTTATTGCAACTACATGTATTGTGCCTGACTACTATTTGAACTGTCTTTTGAAAAGTTGATTTGACATTGGATTGAAAAGTTATGCAGAGTGCAGGGAAATGGAGCAATGTGATATCGGATAAAAATGTATGCCTAATAATTCTAAAACAGCTCTTTGGATAAATATAAAATAAAAATGTTAATGTAAAAGAAAGCATTATTTCATGCCTTAATTGGGAGTCTTTTTTTTCTTTCTTAATGGTACATAAAATAAGATTGCTTCCTGCAATTGGCAAAGTCTTAGAATCGATAAAATATGGTATTTATTTTAATTTTCTTCTTGAATATGAAAGAATTCCAGCTTCCCTTGAAAGATCTCAATGAAAGAAAACAAAACAAATAGAGTGGGCCTTCAAGAGAAGAAGATATACCTGCTTATTTGTTATGTGACCATTCTGGGATATTATACTGGATATTGTCTCAGGGAGGAATTGCTCCAAGGCTAAAGGATGCTGGGGCCTTATTTCTTCATGGGTAATTGAAGCCATGACAGAAGGTGCAGGCCTTGACTTCCACAGTCCCTCCTCTGGAGCCCGGGATCAGGACAGCTCCGGAAGGCCCTCCCGTTTACCTGCAGGGGTCTGCTATCTGCTGCCGTTCTCCCTTCTGCATCACCCGCCGCCTGTGGCTCAAGGCAGAAGTGGGCATCCTCTGGCCCAGTGTGCAGCTGACCAGCTTCAGGAGAAGAGTGAACAGCTCTGGGTACAAGCCTGTGACAGGGATGCCTGTTGATAGCACTTCATGGATAGCACAGGCCACCTGAGGGGAGGAAGGACCTGTGGTCAGGCAGGCTCCCTCCCTCCAAGGACATCGTTTCACTGGACTGATCTCCAAGTTTGTCTTCTCCCCAGATGATTGCTTTCCAAGTTGACCATGCTCATGGTAAAAACATAGAAAAGGGAGAATTTATTTGTCTGGAAACTTCTCAACTCAGACTGTGAGTCTCAGGCCTACCATGTTGGGTGACTTCAAACTCCAAAGGTAAAGTAAAATCTTTTCCAATACTGGGGTCTTTCAACAAAAAAAGTAGTTTGGATATCTTGAAGACTATTCTGGAAATACAGATACATAGATTTTCTTTGTGCTGATGAGAAATTTGCTTTTAAAAATAGTCAGCCATAGACAAAATTACTGCCATCTTTGTCTGTTATAAACTGGAGTTGATCTAAAATCAGGGCACGAGAGGAGAAGTGTGATTAATACTACATTGCCAAGTTCCAGATGGGAACAATCACGGAGTGGGGCACAATTTCAGGCATGTGACGGGTTGTCCAACTCACTGCAATTGCATCCATGCCGGCTAGGTCTTCTTCTAGCGCGTTCTCCAGTTTGTCTATTAAGGCTCGCAATAGTTTATTGCTGGAGGCTGGGTTCTCCGCCAAAGCCTTCCACAATGTCTTTGTGTCCCTAGGGTGGCAAGGCAGGAAGCCGATAAGGCACAATTCCTTGGACTATGAGCTTTTCCATCTGACTCACTCTAAAACCACATTATGATTAATTAGAATTTCAAGGACAGATAGACATGGTAACATGCCTGTGAATAATAAGGATGTTTTATTTAACAATCCAGACTTCTGGCCTTGGGTTACTAAGGTTTGTTAATGTCCATCAAGACATAAACCTGTCAAATAGGTGTATTTTTAGGCAACCAGAAAGAAGAGAATTATTTCTGTGGTATATTAAAAAAACTCATTATTGTTCAATGGGCATATACTTATATATGCATGCATGCATACGTGCATGCGTACATACATACATACATACATACATATGTAAACACTTGAAAAATATTGTGATTCAGACACCAATTTTTAAATTATTATTCAGGTGAGATAACTCTTATTTGCTATCTTTCTCTCAAACAATAATCCTTCCCCGATGCTTTGCAGAATGGCCTTCCCTGAGAGAAGGGACCAGTTCAGTTAGAATCTACCTGTCAAAGGGCAGAGTCTTCTGTAACAAGTTGGTAACAACTGTATCCATGTGAAAGCTGGCTATCTGGGAGATGGCTTCTAGCATAAACTGAAAACTTTCTTCCTTTTGTCTGAGGACCGGCATGTGATAGTAAATTATGCTCAAGACCTCCAACAGCTAAAAAAATAAAAAAATAAATAAAAAGCAAACATTAAGTTGTCATTTTCCCTTTACGTAAAAGACTTGGGGCATATATGGTTAGCATATTGTGTGCGAGTGATCGATGAATTATAAAAAAGTGTTAAAAACAATAATCAATTCTACACAGGGCCTACATCTTATACAGGAGAATTATTGATGAACTGGATATTTATTCTTAAGTAAATGTAGTAGATATTTAGTGAAAGGCTGCATTATGCAGAATATTGTGTTAGGCACTGTGGGAAATTTACCCAAAATGAATAAGATGTAGCCTTTCTTAAAAGAAATGGATGGGCTAATAAAGAATATTGGCCATGTCCTCAAGGGCCTGTGCACTTCACAGCGTATGGGACATGGTATACAAGAGGTACACAGGACTGACGAGAATCCGGAAGTAACTGAGATCACTTTGGTGGGACATCTGGTCTGGGTCTTAAAGGATATATACCAACTTCAAAAGACAAGGTGGAGATGGTGGGAAAGACAGGTAAAGAAATAAGATTTTAAAAAAACCATGAGACTAGCTGGAGCCCAGAGGATTTTTAGATCAGTGAAACTATTCTGTATGATACAACAATGGTGGATACAGGTCATTATATATTCCTCAACACCAAGAGTGAACCCTAATGTAAACTATATTATGTGTCAATGTAGGTCCATCAATTTTAACAAATGTACCACTGTGGTGGGGGATGCTGATAGTGGAGGAAGATGTGAGTGTGTGGGGACAGGAGATATATGGGAACTCTACCTTCTGCTTAATTTTGCTGTAAGCCTAAAATGGGCTGTGAAAAATAAAATCTATATAAAAAAATAGCATGAGAGCATGGGCATAAGCAAATGTAGAAAAGGTTTCTGGAATTGGAGAATGGTCCAGTTTGGGGCACAGAAGAACAAGGGTGATGAAGGGAAGATAATTTGATAGCAAAGATGAAGCTAGATCCCGGAGTGGACTGAAGCCTACCTTTCTGAATTTGGATGTTAATCTATGGCTAGCATGGAGGAATAGTACACCTTTGTATCTTTGACATAGAGAAGGGCATGTCTCTAGGCTAAAGTAACTTTGCTTCCAGTAGATGTTTCTCTTGCTTATTTTGGAAACATTTTTAATTAAGCATAACATGATTACTACAGAGTACAGAGTCTCAATTCAGTGATTCTTGGAGAGCATTTAAGTCCCTTTTGTAAGACTTTGCCTACTGTGTAACTCCCTTTTATGCTAAACACATAAATACATGAACATTTTACATTTATCAACCTTCCATGCTCCCACGCCTAGCCCAGTGTCTGCCAATTGTATGTACTAAAAAAAAAATGTTTTTAAAAAAACTGATTGGAAAGTAATTAGCACAGGGATCATTTCTAAAATTCATGTTTTGGAGAATAATTTAGGGTGGCTGACTCTGGGCTGTGGGGACCTTAATAACTTCTTTCTCCTACTCTCTTTGAGATGTCTTCATTGAGTTAAAGATTCTTTTCCTTCTTATTAATCTTTGTCTTGTTTATATTCTGTTTCTGACTTTAAGAGAGAGGGTAGAGCATCTTCATTTGGAACTCTTAACCAAGCTTGCTTAATTTAAATGCTGTTCCTCTGCTTCCCTCTCCAATTGGGAGGAAGGATCGAGGACTTGACTCTCAGTCACTTCCCCAATGACGGCCTTCCTTACCGGAAAATAAATTCTGAGGTACAAGGAAGAGCAGCCTGCAGAGTGGCAGAGGGATTAGAAATGCTCCTGGCCATAAACGGCCATCTCAAAAGCATTTACAGATCTAACAGCTCAGTTTTTCATAATCCAAATGCCCTTGGTTTAGAGCTGCTTCCTCTGGCCAGCAAGTGACAGTTTGGAAAATTTTTATGGTCACAGACTAGGAAGGCAATTAAGACAGCTTGAGAGAGATACTCGACATGGGGCCGGGTGTTAATCTACAACTTGGGGCTCTGCTGAGGCCTTTCAAGGCTGTGCATTCTCTTGCCTATTGCCCATCAGAGGACAGAGTGAGAAGTGGTGACTGTCTTCTCATGTGGCATTTCTGAAGTGTTAGAATTCTGCTCAGTTGTCGAACTGGTTGTCAGTTCACCTGATCTTCCAAAGCAGCTCCCTGTTCCTTCAGGATAGCAATCATCCATATGCCACAGGCCGTTATACATGGAGGGTTGAGGGTCTCCAGACCATCCAGGGTTTCCTCCAGGAACATGAGGATTTCTTCGTTTGGGATGAGTTTACTAACAATCTGAGAACGTGCCAGAAAAACTCATGTTATCAATCACCTCACTTCATATCTGGACACCTACAATATGCTGTTACTCTTTGTGTTAAGATACTATAGATCAGTGGGCTTGCCAGACAGTGAGTATATGACTGGAGCCATAGAAACTAGAGGAAGCACTAAAATAGGACATAGACATGACCTTTTAACTCTAAGCAAACTTTTCCTAGAGTTGCTTTTTTATCGTTTCATATTTAATGAATCCCAGGCCTACTGAGGCAATTTCCTGTCCAAACTAAGGTTACAGTATACTCCATAAAGGAAAAACTAATGCATAATATTTATATAGTAATTTATACGTTGCAAAGTACTTCACACCCATTTCGTATAACATAGAAATAAGTCTTGCGTCTGCCAAAAAATAGCTAAGCCTTGATAATTCAGGAGAATCTATCACCATGTACTAAATGCTATGCTAAATACTGGTACCTCAGTATCCATACAGAGTGTGAATTATCATGAGCTCTGTCTTTTGCTCTTCCATGTTTCAATATTAAGAGTAGTCAATAAAAGGTCAAGAGAATAAGAACTTTGCAATTTTGATTTCTACATGCAAGAACTGTATGTTTGGTTGATAGCTGTGTGTATCATGGGTGTCCAGGTGTGTGTGTGCATGTATGTGTGTGTGTACATGTTAATAAAAAGGCAGACAAGGAGGTGAAAAGTTAGCAGTTTGCACGAATTCCAGGAGCATTATCAGGAGCTTTAACCTGGCGAAGTCGTCATGATTAAGAGTTTGTAGGTATGAAAACATTCCTATTGACAACTGACTTACCCTGTATTAAACGGCCTAATGACTGATATTTGGTAAAACCATTCTTGAGAGGAAATGAGTTCTTTTTCATGAGTAGTTGTGTGTCCCAGACAGTTTGTAGTTATCATGGTTCCAAGATCAAAGGACTAGACTAGCCTGTTTGTTTTATGTAACACCGACCGCCTGCCTGGGGTACAAGCTCAATGGCCATCTGTTTTCTTTTTCTTTCTTTTACCTTTTTTTTTTTTTTTTTTAAAATCACACTGGGATAGATGTTGGTTTGGGAAGAAAGGAAGAAAACAAACTCATGTTTTCGAGTACTTGTCATGTGTCAGACACTTTCTCAGGCATTTGACATGTGTTCCCTCCAGTTTCCCAACTTGCTTCTCCCCCATATTTTGATCACTTTCTCATTGCGACTGCTGTTGCCACCTTAGTCTAAGTCATATAACCTCATATCTGGATTTTTGTAGTTTCCTCCAAAGTGGCCTCACTAACTTCGCTCTGGCCAGCCGATATTCTAATCTAAAAACAGCAACCAGATAATCATTTAGAAATATAGGATGATTCTCCTTGCAGAATCATCACTAGCCCATAAGGGGTTTTTATAAATTAGGAAAAGGTGTTCTGTCCTCAAGATAGTTCACTTCTCTCTGTAAGTGTATCGTCCTAATAACTGATTTTGTTGGGCCTTTTACTGCCAACTGTGGATAGCTGCCATAACACACACGAATCTGCAGTGTCTGCTTTAGGAATGAGGCCACCTCACAGGAGGGGGCCCTTGCACATGTCACAGCTGGCACAATTGTACGTAGTGGCCCTGACGCTTCTGCTCAAAACCCTCTGCTGCCTTTGGATTTCATTCAGAGTAAAAGCCAAGGTCCTTGACAAGGCCTGGAAGGTGCCTGGAGTAGCCCTGGGCTACCTCTTGGATCTCATTACCCACTTCTTTGTCCTCCTCAGGGCCTTTGCGCTTGCTGTTTCCTCTCAGTTTGGAGAGTTCTTTTCCAGATGTCTCCATGGTTCACTCTTGCACAGTGATCTGCTCTGGGAGATTACCTTTCCCTTTCTCTCTATTCTCTTACTTGACTTTATTTATCTTTATTATGACTACCCGATATCTATTTAGCTGACTCCAACTACTCAGATGCAAGCTCAACAAGGGTAAGAATTCTGTATTTTTCTATTCTTGCAGTTTGGAACAAAGTCTGCTCTATGGTAGGTTCACAGGGCCTATTAGGTGAGGAAATAAATGATTGAATCAATGAATGATC